CTAGTGGCTACTGAAATTACCTCATTGGTAGCCTAACGTTTGGAGGAGTACACTTGACCTCAGAGCTGTACAAGATTCCTCCTCTTCCTCCCCTCGCTCTCTCGCTCCAGCACGTGCGCACCGGCAGAAATTTCGACTTTCAAGAGGCTTTTAGGACCCAAGGGTTCAGAGCAGACTGATGGCAAATCTAGTTTTGGGCACTTTTCCTCCCGTGACCCAGTAATCTATCTGCAGAGCTCGGCCTTGCAGTCTTTGAAGTAAGTCCAGACCCTCTCTGGATCCTCCCCTTCTCCTCCCACGCGGTACCACGCCTGGCGTTTTAGCTTTCCCTCAATTACCACCCACGCTCGAAAGAGGACGGGGTGGGAGTTCAAGCCTCTGCTCAGCATGCAGGCGCCCCCTTTTCAGAAGGACTTCCAATGGAGATGCATCTTCGGTTCTGGGCTCCGAGGCCAAGAGCGTGGGGACACACCTGTCCTGCTACTGTGGAGGCGGGAGCCCAATCTCTAGCCCCTGAGTGTTGGGAGTGAGCGGGGTGGGAGAGAAGCCCGAGTGTGACCTCGCCAGCGGACAAGCAGCTCAGGTGGACGCCGACGGGGAAGCTAGCAGGACCCGCCGAGGGGCGCAGTGGCGCTGGGACGCTGGCTGCAGGGCGCGTGGCCCGGCACCTCGCACCGCGCCCCGGCTCCCTCTCGCGGTGCCGCAGTCCCCGCCGCGCCCGCCCCTCGGCCCTGCCCCCCCATGACGTCAGCGCGGCCGGGCGGGTCCCCGGTTATAAAAGGCGGAACTGGGGGAGGGCGACAGGTCTTTGCGCTCCCTAGCCCTCCGTCCACGCACTGCTCCGAGGGCCAGCGCCTCCACCCCTTCTACAGCCAGCACCATGCGCGAGATCGTGCACATCCAGGCGGGCCAGTGCGGCAACCAGATCGGCGCTAAGGTGGGCGCGCCCCCGGGGAGGGTGTGGGTGGGGTCGCCCCCTTGGGTCGGGGTCACAAGGTTGTTGGGGGAGGGGGCAGGCCGAGCCTGGGGGATCCAGAGGAGGCCAGGCTAGTGACGCATTCCACCGATGGCTACTGGGCGGGCCGGCTCCCAGGAGCCGGTCTTTCAGCCACGATGCGCGCCCGCCGGACAGGGTGTCTTAAATCAAAGGTCCATTACATTGCTTTGAGACGCAGCCCGTCTACGGGGGTGCAGTTGGCATTACTCTTTTTTTTTTTTTTTTCGTCTGTAAAATTTGGGTCGGGGTCACTGTCATCTGCGTTGAGGACCTCATGTCAAATGTAATTTGTTTTTTGTTTTTGTTTTTTTTTTTTTTTGGTCTGACATTTGAATGAAAAAAAAATGCAGTGTCATTGGTTTGACAGATGTTACAGAGGCGTGTCTTTGGGCCAACAGACGAGGGTGTTAGACAAATTCTCTTACAAGGGCTGGACTAGACGTGACACAAAATGCTACGGTCGTCTTTCTCCTCCGTTGTGACACTGCACGGAATAGGGGCTGTGAGACCCGACGGCAGTCGGGAGGCAGCAGTGGGCATTTAACATGGGTGTGGGCGGGTGCCTGTACAAGGACGTGGTCTCTTTCAGCACCGCCATATTGCCCACCCAACCTCCCCACCCCCTTTCCTGCTGCCAAGTCACAATGGAGGCTGCACCCTGAGGATGGCTTTTGCCAGGGCTGCCAGGCGCCCTCTCAGGATCGTGCTGCCCATCGCCAAACATTCCTAGCTGGGGGTCAATACACGGAAGCCAATATGTAGGTCAGTGGTATAAAACTGGGTTGTTGAAAGCTGCCATGAAGTCTGTGCCAGGAGCCATTGATCCCTGGAGGCGCAGGGGGCGGGGCACCTGATCTTCCCTTCTGCCTTCCCCATCCATCAGCCTGTACCTAGTAGCATTCAGCCCTGCCTGGAGTGATAGAGAGCCGCTGTCTCTGCAGTTCTGGGAGGGGATCTGCTGTACCCACTTCCTTCTCCAGGCTCCTCCCAGCCCAGCATCTGTGGTCATAACATGGCCGATGCACTGCGCATTTTTAAGACCCTCTGCAGCAGCTGCTGCCCAAACACCTAGGGGCCAGCAGCTCACTGGGCTCTTGCCTGCTGTCTGATCAAGACCTTTCTGAGTGACAGTTAGATCCTAAGCTCATGTGACTCTCTTCATTTCAGTTTTGGGAGGTGATAAGCGATGAGCATGGCATCGACCCCACCGGCAGTTACCATGGCGACAGTGACTTGCAGCTGGAGAGAATCAATGTGTACTACAATGAAGCCGCTGGTAAGGGTTTGGGTGTTTGGATATCAGACTTGTTTTCCATTCTGTGGCAGAGGAAGTGGCCTAGGAGCATGCAAACAAGAAAATGCCTTTTGCCTGCTCACTTACAATGCCATCTGGAAAAAAAAAAAAAAAGTATGCTGTAGTTCCTGGAGACCTCTCCATGTTTGGCATGAATAAGCACACTCTGCCTCTCCATTTTCTTTTTCCTCCTTTGTCTCAAAGCTGGGATTTTTGTAATGAGTTCGGCTGCTACATCTATCTCCTTGCCAAGCCCAATTGTAAGTCAGCTCTTGTCCCCACAGGCAACAAATATGTACCTCGAGCCATCCTGGTGGACCTGGAGCCGGGCACCATGGACTCAGTGAGGTCGGGACCCTTCGGCCAGATCTTCAGGCCAGACAACTTTGTGTTCGGTATGTCGTCATGCTCCATGAGAGCCGGCCAAATGACTCACTCCCTTCCTAGCAGCCAGGCTTTACAGTTCTGTGTGCTGTGCCCAGCTGAACCTGTGTCCCACAGACCGCAAATCCTGGCCTGCCCTATGCTTCTGACAAGATGATGTCTGTGGCCACCCTTGACAGCTCAGAGGAGAATGTGGGCCTGTTGAGGCTGTGAAAGGCCTCCATGAGGAGCAGCCTCTGGGGGAGGGAGGGGTGAGAAGATGAAAGTCTTCAAAGAGGGCATCACAGGCTGCAGGACACTTCAAAGGGCCAGTGATGCCAGGTAACCACTTGAGTGACCAAGGTGTAGACCAAGTGCTTAGAGCTGCCTTCCCCTGCCTCTTTAATTATACCTAATGAAGAGTCTTTACAGGATGTTCTCTGTGCTTAATTTTAGAAGCTACTGAGTATTGTTAAAATGTGTCCTCTTCCTCAAACTTGATTTAAAAAAAAAAAAAAGATTTACTTATTTATTTATTTACTACTATTTATAATTATTCTGCCTGTATACCAGAAGAGGGCACGAGATCTCTGGCAATTGAACTCAGGACCTTTGGAAGAACAGCCAGTGCTCTTAACCTCTGAGCCATCTCTTCAGCCCTCACACTTAATTCTTACTTTATTATGATCCCCAGAGTCTTTAAGGTCAGGGATACATGGACAATATTTCCTTTCTATAAAACAGTGTATCAAAAAGACGACTGAATGTTTTCTAAGGCCGGTTCTTCCTTTTCCTTCACAGTCCAATGACACCACCCTCAATGCTTAAGTTTGTCTAATATTCTCTTCCTTCCTGGCAGGCCAGAGCGGTGCAGGAAATAACTGGGCCAAGGGCCACTACACAGAGGGTGCCGAGCTGGTGGACTCCGTCCTGGACGTGGTGAGGAAGGAGTCCGAAAGCTGTGACTGTCTCCAGGGCTTCCAGCTCACCCACTCACTGGGGGGAGGCACTGGCTCAGGCATGGGGACCCTGCTCATCAGCAAGATCAGAGAGGAGTACCCAGACAGAATCATGAACACCTTCAGCGTCATGCCCTCACCCAAGGTCTCTGACACCGTGGTGGAACCCTACAATGCCACCCTCTCAGTGCACCAGCTGGTGGAGAACACAGATGAAACCTATTCTATCGACAACGAGGCCCTGTATGACATCTGCTTCCGCACTCTCAAGCTGACCACACCCACCTATGGCGATCTCAACCACCTGGTGTCAGCCACCATGAGTGGGGTGACCACCTGCCTGCGCTTCCCAGGCCAGCTGAACGCAGACCTGCGCAAGCTGGCCGTGAACATGGTGCCCTTCCCTCGCCTGCACTTCTTCATGCCAGGCTTCGCACCTCTGACCAGCAGGGGCAGCCAGCAGTACCGAGCCCTGACGGTGCCCGAGCTCACCCAGCAGATGTTCGACTCCAAGAACATGATGGCCGCCTGCGACCCCCGCCACGGCCGCTACCTGACCGTGGCCGCCATTTTCCGGGGCCGCATGTCCATGAAGGAGGTGGATGAGCAGATGCTCAACGTGCAGAACAAGAACAGCAGCTACTTCGTGGAGTGGATCCCCAACAACGTCAAGACGGCCGTGTGTGACATCCCTCCTCGAGGCCTCAAGATGTCAGCCACCTTCATTGGCAACAGCACGGCCATCCAGGAGCTGTTCAAGCGCATCTCGGAGCAGTTCACCGCCATGTTCCGGCGCAAGGCTTTCCTGCACTGGTACACGGGCGAGGGCATGGACGAGATGGAGTTCACCGAGGCGGAGAGCAACATGAATGACCTGGTGTCTGAGTACCAGCAGTACCAGGATGCAACAGCTGATGAGCAGGGCGAGTTCGAGGAGGAAGAGGGCGAGGATGAGGCTTAAGAACTTCTCACATACATTGTGCACCTTTAGTGAACTTCTGTTGTCCTTCAGCATGGTCTTTCTATTTGTAAATTATGGTGCTCAGTTTGCTTCTGTCAGAAATTCACTGTTGATGTTATAGTTTGAACCTCCTTTCAAGATTACAGTATTGTCTAAGAAATCTATACTAATAAAAAAGCATGTGTATAAAACCTGTGCTCCTTTTGTCCTCGACATCCTATCTTTTTTTTTTTTTTTTTTTCTGAAATACAAAGCTTCAGGGTGTAATAGCACTGTGGGACTTGCTTAGTGTTTTAGTTGTTAGCATTCTAGATACCCTATGAACTTGTCAAATTAAGGACTTAATCAAAGGCTTTTAATTCTCAGGCAATAAAAATATGTTGTAAATTCAAGATATGCTAAAATAGCAAACACAAACACTACAAATGATTACCATAAAATTTATTTGAAAACAAATTATGGTAAAATTTGCTCTTTGATAAAAGAATTTGCTTTCAGGACAATGATAGAAACTCATAATTTAATGTTAAAAACACCAATATTCATGTTTTTTGCAGCCGTTGAAGCTATAACCTGATTTGGGTATGCAATTTTTCTTGCTTGCATAGTCACACTTAGGGAGTATAAAAAACCTGACAGTTCTGTCTGTGAACTGAGGTGAAAAGCAAGAGAAGGCAATTTGGAGCATCCTGCTAACAGGCAATGGCATGGTCCTTCAATACAGAATCCCCCAGACACCAAAGGCTTCCTGGAATTTCACTGTAGAAAGTCTTCTACCAACTTGTTGAATTCATCTGCGAAGCGTAAATGCAGGTTATGTTTGCCTTCAGGCATCAGATGCAACCTAAGAGACAAACCAAGTGCTTGATCAGTGGTCTATAGTAAAAACGTTTCCCTCTCTCTAGCATTTGAAGAGACTCTTTCAGAACCATATGAACATTCCAAGGATGTGAATGTCAGGGTGAACTCCCGTGCAGGTTCCTACCACTCCAGAGATAGACCATAAGGCCATCACTGAACAGTGACAATGTTGGGATTGGCCTCAGGTAACAAAAACAGTTACAGTTTGACTGGAAAACAGTGGAGAAGGTGATCTGATAGTTACTTTAAAAATCCATTTTTAACAAACTTGTTTTTTAAACAAGACTACTGGGGGAATGACTATAAAAATTATAGTAGTGACGGCGAGTGACCATAACCCCAGTTCTTCAAAAGATGAAAAGAGTGAGAAATGATGGGAATTCACTGAGTTGCGGAGGTGAGTTTTTATTTGGGGAGGGGGGAGGTATCTGTGGGCAAGCAAAATAGGAATTCTCAGGCCCCAGCAGCAGCCCTCATATAAGGTTCTAAGTCATCTGTCACGCTCAGGATACAGAGCAAATAAGCCTGATTGCAGCCAGCAGACAGATGGAAAAATGCCTTCGGAATTTTGGGTGGGTGTTGGGACTCCTCAGTAGCCATGTGTGCACAACTACTTCTGCAGCTGTCAAATCATGTCTTTGGTGGACCCCTCTGTCCTGGAAAGCCCCCCCCCCCTTTTTCCATTTAATATCATTTTGGTCAAAGGGGACTGATTTGTAATTTTTTAAAAAAACAAATACAAACTTTTAAAAAAATCTATTTTATTTATTAGCTTCTAAAGCATAGAAACAGAGTTTAGACAAAGCTTTTAGGAGGCCAAGGTTAAGTTCGAGCCATGTTGTCTACAGTGACAACTGGGTTTCGAAAGAACTAGAGTGGAGCAAAATTCCAGTGGCTACACTCTGTACTTTGTCTGATCTTTTTGATGAGGGCTGATGGCTCTCAGAAATTGAGCGGCTGATAGGGAGGACTCTGGAGGAAGGCGGCCCTGCTCAGAAGATGCTGGGCCTCTTGCGATTCTGCCATGCCAGTAGCAGGGGTGGGAGGACCAAGAAAATCAAATGGAAAGGAAATATATACTGCTGGTATCTTTCAGGGGTTGCTGCAAGGCTAATAATGCTATTCATGGTAACTAGAACATTTAAGTTTAAAAGACGCTTCTTAAAAGGGACGAGTTATACCAGCCACACCACACAGGTGTGGGGCTACAGGCATGCTCAAAGCTACACGTTTTAAGACGCAGAAAACACTCAGCTGCTGAGCATGCTGAGGTTACAGAAGCAAGAGCGTAGGCCAGACTACAACCGTTTATCTTAATTAAGCTGGGGTTGGAAGCCAAGAAACCCTGACCTGGTCATCCTGAAGTACATCTAGAGATGCCCAACTCAGCTGCCCCCTGTCCTGCCCCGTTTCTACAATCTGCCTGTTCCTAACAAGGACAGCTGCAAATCCCTTTTTTTAGCCATATAATGAAGCCTGGTAACGGTGAAGCCTACATCTCTACATCTCTACATCTTGGGAAAGTAAATATAAGGTTCTGTATGTTAAAAACATGAGAGAACTGCTCTAGATGCTGGAGGGGTGCATTAGTGAATACGGAGATGGCCAGAGGACGGATGATGACTGAGGAAACGGATAGGTGGGTAGGTGGGTGGATGGATGGGTGAGTGGGTAAGTGGGTGAATAAGTGGATGCATGAATGGATGGATGGACATAAGAAAATATGAAGAAAATTATTCTCCTTGATGCCTTTTCTTAGTGCAAATCCTCCCCCTCACTCTGCTTGGAGCCTACTGTGAATCCTCCTGGGAACAGGACTGCACAGCCAGGCACAAACACCTGGCCAGGCAGCCCTCTGCTGCTGACCCACTTCTTACCGAGACAACAAAAGGATCCACATGCTTCACTGAGTGGCTTTCAAACAATCACGTTCTCCAGGAAAACTGGTAGGAAAGCCTGCGATTAACCACAGGCTCAGATGACAGTGAAGGGGCCCTACAGGGTTCAAGTTTCTATTTCTAAGGCAGGGGTCCTGCAGCAGGTGGCATCTTTCGAAAGACTCTAGAACTCTTGGGGAGACACTGTTAAATTTGAGTAAACCTGGTGGTCATCTCAGCTCTGCTGATCCAGCCCCTCTCAGTCATGCTGGCATGAGACACTGATCTCACCATATTGGCATTTTTGTCTTCACTCTCACTATTTTTAGCTTTCAAATGAAGCTTCATTTGAGCTGTCTGATAGTGACAAGGCCATAATGAACATGCTATAGCACCTTCACTCTGAATGAATGGGACAAAATTCTCGGTATCTTCTGAACCTATATACTGTCCAGGAAGGATATGTGCACATCTGCTTTCCCTGAAAGCCGAATGAGCGGCTGCTTCTTTGTGAGGGGCTCTTGTCCATCAAGAAAGTGGACAGCAGCAAACTACACAGGCCCCATTCTCATCCCTCAATGACAGGGCTTCAAAGCTATGCAAACCTGACTGCCCGCACCAGACTTCCTGTTCAGAAACGGAATGTTTTCTTTTTCGATCACGCCTTCGAGAAAACCCCGAGAAAAAGGTAAAGATGCGAGAACTACAAGTTTCTTCCAGCCGGTGAAGCTAGAAGGCACTGCCCACAGACTTTACCCTACCAGACGTTTGGGGGTGGAGGGGCAGACATCTCATGGGGGGAGGTTTCTTTTCTTAAATCCAATAATCATGCCTCACGCATGAAAAAGAAATTAAATCGCTGCGGTGGCCCCGACCCACCCACGGTGGAGCGCGTCTAGCTTCTACCAGGTCTGCAGGATTAATGATCTACTGCGGTGTGTGGGGGACAAACCTGCTGAGATTCCAGGAAGCTGTCTGGGGCCTACCAACAGCAGTAAATGATAAACGTAACCGTGGGGGTCAGTAGCGCCTTTATGGAGGCAGCATGGCCTATGCACTGACAGTTACACCCCCCTCCAACCCCACCCACCACTGAGCCATTTTTTTCTCCTTAAGAGAAGTTTTGCAAAATGGTTCTAGCGTTTGCCTGGAAAGGGTCAGACAGACTCTGCTCCTCTTGAGTCAAAAAGGCCTCCACTCTGGGGATTTCTATTTGAACTGAACGCTGTGGCCACAGGCCACCTGACTGCTCTTCTCTGCAAAGGTCCCACTTAGGGGAGAAGTCACCACGGCATGAGGGGTGGGAGCTCCCAGCAAGATGTGGTATGAAAGCACAGGCTTCAGCAGGTACCTTTCATCAGCCTCTCTCTCCCCCAGGACCCTGGACTTGCTTTGCTATCTGGCAGAGAAAGGGAACTCAGCTGCTGGTGTGAACCGGTTCCACCTTCATGCTCCAGTTCACACTGCTCCAGAAGGAGGAACTGCCTCCTCTCAGGGACTCAGACAAGAAGACAGTAACTAGCCCACCCCCTTCCACTCCATTCACATAACCTCCAGGAAAGCCATGCCAAGATCAAGAAGTCTGTGCAGAGGAGCCATACGCCTGTCAGCCCTTCTCCATAGCCATGGTTACGTTCACATGTCAATTGGACTGGGTTCTGGGGTGCCCAGATATTTGATCAGACAATATTGTGGTTGGGCCTGAGTGTGCTGGGAATGGCATGAAGACCTGAATCCGTGGGCTGAATAAAGTAATTACCCTCCCTGGTGTGAGTAGAGCTAGTTTAATCTGCTGACAGTCAGGTTGAGAAGATAGCTAGCACCTACATTTTACACGCCAGAAAACAAGCTAGAGATGTCATGTGCAAATACTCAAGGGCACACAGTCAAATGACCATCTGGTGCTCTTAATTCCATTGTCACAAATGCTACTCAGCCTCCTTTCATTTCCAGAGAGGACTCCTTTAGCTCCTCCCCTTGGCTGAAGCAAACCTGCAATGTCATTCTACACTCGTCGATTTTACCACTGTTCTTTCCTGCTTGCTTGGCTCCCAGGCCTGCATGGCCGTGCAGCCGGGCCACTTCAGAGCCTAACCTCTGGACACCTACTGCTCCTGCTTGCACACATGCTTTCTGCTTTCCTCCCTTCCTACCTCATGCCTCCCCTGTTATTCACAGAACCTTTAAAATGTGATAGATTATATCCTGAGAGAGCTATTCAATGGGATAAAAATTAAATCACGTGCCGAGAGCTGTTGAAAAAGGTATGAATAGCAGGGCTTGGTGGCGCACCCACGGAGCTGTAAATCCCAGCACTCGGGGAGGCAGAGGCAGGCTGATCGTGGTGAGTTCAAGGCCAGCCTGCTTTACAAGGTAAGTCCAGGACAGCCAAGGCTGTTTTGAGATACCCTGTCTTAACCTCCTCCCCCTAAAGGGAACATGCCTTTGATCCCAGCACTCAGGAGGCAGTGGTAGATGGATCTCCGTGAGTTCAAGGCCAGACTGGTCTACAAAGGACAGCCATGACTATTACACAGAGAAACCCTGTCTGAAAACAAAACAAGAAACAAAAACAAAAGAATGTACCTAATATATCCATATTGCCAAACACCACAGTTTAGCCTCACCTATCTTAAACATGCTTGGAATGCTTACGTCAGCCTACAGCTGAGCGAAATCATCTCCCGTGCCATGAGCCCTGATTTATAACCAAGCTTCGAGGACTTCATACAGTTTAGTGAGTTTTGTTGTCTGCACGGGAGCTCTGACATTTCTGCAGAGTTGAAAGTCTTTCTTAGAGGACGGCTAAAGCAGGAATTCTCCACCTTCGTTGTGGCAGCAAGCTAGCTGGTTCCCAGCACAGTGGCCTGACCCATCTGTGCGGTCCACAACCTCTCCAGTCAGTCCATCCCTGCTGCCTCCAAGAGCCTCTTCACACCAGCTCTAGAGTATGATGAGTACCAATTACCACTTGACAAGATTTCCCAGATGGCTGCTGGGGCTGGCTGCATGCTTTGTAACAGGGCTGGCAGACGACGCAGGCAAGAAGCCCATCGTCCAGGAGAGAGTTCTGGCTACACAGCAGCCCTGAAACCAGGATCAGGGCAGGAGGCAAAGACACCTCACCTCACTGCTGCGGTCAGACAGCCTTCACTATGGGTTTTACACAAGAGCTTTTGTGGGAGAATGTAGCTGCCTGGAACTGAAAACTTAAAACAAAGGCCTCTTTGCTTTTAAGAGGAATCTCTATGAAGGGAGGAAAGAGAAGAGGAGGAGACAGATTGGCAAAGCTGGAGGCTGGTCTCCTTCCAAGGAGGTAAAAGCAGTGCTGTGTGACTCATACGTGGTAAGCGCTGTTTGGTAAAAACCCATGAGCCCAGACTATGCCTTGAAGTGGAGTTTAAAGGTGTCTGGCGAGGTGTATTGCTGTCCCGCCTCACAAGGCATGGTGCAGAAGCACAGCAGGGATTTCCTGCTCTAGGAACCCAGTTCTCTTCTTTGTGCTCCCAAAGAAGTCAGCCATGGTCTTGCAGGTTCCAATCCAACACAAAGGGCTCTTTTTGCAAGAGGAGTGGAAAATACATACGACTGTTACTTTTTTTTTAGAGAACCGTTGCTCATAATATTTTACCTCTAATCCGTCAGTTCCAAAGAGTAGCGACATAAGAAAATGATTTTCCACCAAACGCACAGGAAGGGCATGCTTTTCTTCAATATTGATGTATTCTGTTGCTAGGAGATGGGTTTGAGACAGAATTCCTAGACCAAACTCTTTTAGAGACAGATGTTTAATGAGCTTGACTATTTTTTTTTAAAGGGAAGTCTCTGCATTTATCATGAGTATCAGCATATAAAAAAACTGGTCATTTCTGAAGCAGGAAACAATCAGCCAGGCCACCTAATATAGCTGTCTTACCTTCTCCCTAAGGGTTCATTCATAAGAGGCAGTTATGCTATGGTGAAAAAAAGCTCTGTTTTAAGAAAATCCAGGACTTGTCATTTACCAACTAAATGGCTTGAAACACATTTAACATCAACCACCCTTGAATACTCATCTAAAAAACGGAACAATTTTTGCTAAGTTTGTAGGTGAAGTATAAATAGATATTTTATATGAGTGAAATATCTTTAAGATGAAAAAAATGCCATTTGGAAACATCACCCCAAACGTATAAAATTAAAATAAAACAAAGAAACTGAGGTGCATAGAAAACATCTGGAAGATTAGTAAGAAAATAAGCTGTTTGAATTTTGTGCCACAACGACAATTTAGTATTATAATTTTATAATAGTCAAGTCTGAAAATGACGTTTTTACCACAGACTTCTAATTTTTGAAAAAGTCCATTTACTCATAGTATAAGTTTAATCTAACTTCTACCTCTGTTCTCCACTTATACGCTACATTTTTCCCAAATCGGTTGCTGTTCATGCTCACATTCTTGCGTTTGTTTACCTCATGGCTGAACTGATACAGAAGAAATGTGTAGAAAGAAGAGAAGCCTTTCGATGTAAAGAATTATAAATATATACATGTAATTCATATACATAGATATATGAACTGCTATGAAATTGTATTTTGCTGTGGAATAAGAACCCCCGCCCCCTTTGATTCTAAATCCCCTGGGAAGTGTCAAGATACACCGAGGAGACTTATCCACAGGCAGTGGAGCTGTTGGGATGCTAGCTTTCCTTTCTGGGCTTCAGGGACTTTGAAGACAGGGACCTAAGCTAGGTGTGATAAGCAGTGCTGACCTTCCACAGGCATCAAAAATCAGGAACATGGAGGCACTGAGTACATATTTTATAGTGTAAAGTTTTATAATATAATTTTAGTGAGGAAAAAAAAACGCTTCAGAGTTGAATACAGAATGTGCCTGTATCTATGCAGTTGGCTACCAACGAACAGTTTGCTTTCTCGGTTTGGCTTAATGAATAGTTTTTATTGTTATTGTTTTTTAAATGAGTTAAAAAAAATCCCCACGTATCAAACTGTTACCAATGGTTGCTACAATTCTAAAGTGATGGTCTTGTTACAGACCATGGCCTCACTGTGCTCCTTCTGCTGAGGATTGTCAGAGCTCAGAGCTCAGGCCCTCTGTGTCTGTGGTGTTCTCAGTGCTGTGGTACTCTCTGACCAAATGATGGCCATATATCCTAAACCCACTTCTCCCACATCTTTTCCTTCCCTCGGTTTCTCTCATTTCCTCAGAGGCTCTGCGGTGCCTAGAAGTTGTGAAGCTGTAACAAGACTCACCGTGACCCTTTCACGTTCTCGAGAAGGAAGTCAGCATGAAAACGTGGGACCAGTGGATCCTTCTCCCCGTGCACGATGAGGGTTGGGCACTGGACCAGGGGCAGCAGGTGGCGGCAGATGTTACCTGAGGAGCACAGGAAACTGCCTTAGCCCAGTCACTGCCGGGAAGAAGCAAAACTCTGCAGAGACACGCGAAGCTAGGATTTGGACCTTAATGTTTCCCAGAGGCACCAAAGGCTTGGTCCCCAGAGCGGTGCCATTAGGAAGCAGTGAAAGCCTCAGGATGTGGCCTTGTGGGACATCCTTAATCACTGGGGACATATACCTAAAAGGGATTGTGAAACTCCAGCCTATCCTTTCTTCCCTTCTCTAACTCAGGAAGTGACTGGCTGCCTCACTGAAGATGCAAAGCCATATGGCCACTTGCTTATCAGCTGGAACCTCCAGAACAAGCCAAGGTACACCTTTTCTATTATCTTAGGTGTTCTTTCTTTCTTTCTTTCTTTCTTTCTTTCTTTCTTTCTTTCTTTCTTTTTCTTTCTTTCTTTCTCCGTTGAGATGCACGTCCCTCTGCATCTAGGCTTCCCTGTCAGTGGAAGCTAGCTAGTTTGATCTGGGGTTTCTTCCGGTTTTAACATTTTTCAGCTTTCCCTTCTGGTTCTGTGCTCTGTTTGTGCTGATGCTCTCCCAGTAAATAAACAGCTTTTAAATTATCAAATTTTATTACTAATGTCTAAAATAATGATTTAAATTCATTATTCATGTAAAATGATAGAAAAAAAATCAAATAAGTAAGTGAAACTCCCACATATTACAAAGAAGCAGCCTGTCAGTCACTTGGATAAAGGCATCTGAAGCCTTCTCCCTTGAGGTTGTGTCTTAATGGCTGAAGCCTAGCCAGTCCTCAGGGTGCGGGGACTTCACGGTGAAGTTAGCCTGTACATAGGACACAAGCTACTCTTGTGCCTCAATGACACTCTTGACTACCACACCTTGGTGGCCTCCTTTCCAGCCAGAGCTTTAGTCTGAAACAGCAGTAATCACGGTTGCCCGTGGCTGTTATGAGGCTACACAAACGGTGCGCTGTATCGAAGGTTCTGGGTATCCATTGCATTAGCTGCTTCCTTCACCTGCCTCCCATCTCTGCCTGTACTGAAAGGAAGTGCTATAGCCCTGAGCTGGCTGGGATCCAGTGCATATGGCACTGCCCACTGGGACCAGGCCTCTGCCCTTCTCTTCGGCTGAGGACTGCTCTCCATGGAGGGAGGGTGACCAGCTGACTGGGGAAGCAGAGCTGGGTCTCTGAAGCACTCGTCTCCGGGCGCTGGGCAGCGCCCACCTGCCAGATGTATGAGGTGATGCCGATGAAAGCCCGCTTTCCAAGCTCGTGCTGCAGCAGTCCCTGTTAATGCCTCCAGCATTCACATTGCTTTTCTTTTGAGACAGGGTCTTGCTGGACTGGAACTCACTATGTAGACCAGGCTGGCCTCACACTCACAGATTCACCTGTCTCTTGCCTTCTAGGTGCTGCGTTTAAAGGCACATGCCATCACATCAGGCTGGCACTTACATTTTAACTCATTCAATACTGACAAATATTTGTAAATTAGGTGCTTTTTTATAACAGTGGTAGCACTTTCATGATAGCTGTTTGTAGCATCCTGTGATAGCCGAGTGTGTATTATCTCCCTTAATCCCCGCAAAAACTTTCTGAAGGAGGTATCAGTATGTTCTCCAGAGGCCAAGTCACTGCCCAAAGCCATCCTGTCGGCAGGCAAAGACCTCAAGCGCAGGTCTGGGTGACTCCTCCCCATGCAATCACCCATGTGGGACAGAGCATCTAAATCTGAGCACATAGCCATGAACAAAAGACTCCTGTCAGATCACAAGTACAGAAAGGAGATTAATTAAGTCCAGATGTAAGATGATCTCCATATTGGATTCTCTGTGTGAGAATGTGCTTTTGAATCGTTTAACACAATTTCCCTCTCTTTATTGCCTTCTTCCAGAAAGCACCAAACTTTATACTTTCCTGGGGAATGGCCTCACATGGTTTTGTTTTTTCTTTCTTTCTTTCTTTCTTTCTTTCTTTCTTTCTTTCTTTCTTTCTTTCTTTCTTTCTTTCTTTCTCTTTCCTTCCTTTCTTCCTTCCTTCCTTCCTTCCTTCCTTCCTTCCTTCCTTCCTTCCTTCCTTCCTCTTTCTTTCTTTTTAATAGCACTTTTTTTCCCCCTGTTATTTTAAAGTTCAAAGAAACACATTTTAAAGATTTGGTACTGTGCATGGAAACTGCATTTCAACAGCATCACTGAATGGCACGGATTTGGTCTTTTGAACTTAAACCAGACATGTAACATTTCCAAAGTCCCTTCCATGGCAAAAGCTTTGACATTAAAATGATTCATGCTGGAAAGGATTACCTAATAGATTAACCTGTCTCTTCAGACACACACATTCTGTAACTAAAAGTCTCCAGGATTAAATCCTAGCAACTATATGCTTGCAGCAGTTACAAAAAGAAAAAGAAAAAAAGGGGGAGAAGAGCGATTCCACAGCTTGCTACAGTGTTCACCAATGGCTCCCGTGTTAGAGCTTCTTTCCCGGTATGGAGGGAGAAGCGGTGGAAGCTTTAGAGGTGGGGCCTAGGGGAAGTGCATAGGTCATTGGGGTGTGCTTCTGGAAGAGAGGGAAACTCCAGTCTAGTCCTCTTTTTCATTTTTGCCTAGGAGCAAACAGCTTTGCCTTGCCAGGCTCTCCTGTCATGATCCACAGCACCACCAGCCTTAAAGGCAGTAGGTTTCCTGAGTCATGGACCAGAACCCCCAAAACTAAGTCATGATGCATCTTTCCTCTCAATAAGCTGATGATCTCAGGTGCTTGTCATAGTGACAGAAGCTGACTAAACACACAGCTATGTAAAAATAATCTTAAAGATGTTAATTCCTGCTGGAAATCCTATTAATTTTTCAGATAAATAGAAGGAGGTATTTTTCCACAGCTACGGTTATATCACTTGGTCCTAAAGATGGAAAGAGAATTGAACAGTCTCCCTCACTGGCTTTGCTGGGGCTGCAGATCATAGCAGAGACTTCCTCCTGCTTTGTCCTAGAGTAAGATGAGAAGCTGGTGGACCCAGGCAGATAGGGGGAGAAAACCTGTCTATTATGGTGGCTCTTTTTCTAATAGCCTCCTCTTCAATTAGAAAGTAGAACCAGAGGTTTCTGGCAGACAGATCTGTGCAGCCCCATATGCAAAGAACTGAAGGGAAATGAATGCTGTTAAATGAACCTTTATTTGTTAAATGAACCTCAATATGAACCTTTATTCACACGGTCCTCTCTGGTATTTACACTTATTATACAGGGATTCATATTGTGTATGATGATCAGTGTCTGTTCACACAATAGCAGTGTGAGGATAATGGGTGGGTTTAGTCATCATGGAGGAATGCTGGGAAGTCAAGGGCAGAACTCAAGCATGCCCTGCAATTAGTGAAGGAACCATCAGTCCCCGCAACGTACCATCTGGCAGATGCCTAAACTGGTTTATTCCGTCCACCCACTTCTCACAGGTTTTGGCAAAGTAGTCATATCCATATAGGGCTTCCAGAGGTTTCCTTGCCTTCTCGCTCCATTTAGAAACATCTCGGATACCTGAAAAACCGAAGTGTGAACAAGCATGAGTCCAGCCTCACACTAAAGTACTATCTGGAAGTAACCTAAGCCCAGGCCACCTCTGGGCATCATGTTCACTGTCCCACCTGCTGCGAAGACCTTCCCCAGTGCCTGCCCGGCTCACTCATATCCTCTAGCTCTCTGCTCAGATGTTAGAGCCCCACCCCCACCCACATGCCCTCTGTGACTTTCCCTCTCCATCTGCCATGCTTAGCACTTATCTGCTTTGCAGGGCTTTCTGCCTTGTGCTTGATTGTCCATCTCCCCCTAGGGATCATGCCTAGTGCAAGGGTTTTATTTTATGTCTTGCTAAACATTAGACCCTAGGCTGGGCCTCCCACTAGAATAACATGATAAATCATTAGTGATTGAATGAAAGTAGACCTGAGTTGAATGTTTTCTGCTAAAGACAGTAAAAGGAAACATTTCTTTAATTTGTGTCTCCAGAGTAAGAATGATATTATAGTTATCTTTTGGTTCCTAAAGAGTTGTGTAACAGTTTCCCCCAAGATTGAAGCCTTTCATTCTGGAGAAATCTCCTTAAACAGAAAGGCAAACTACTCAAAATAGCTTCAGGAAGTCCCTGAAACTGACCAGATTCACTAGGCCCCTACCTGCGTGAGTAAGCTATAAAAGCCGAACATCCTCTTCAGACTAAAGAAAGCTGAACTGCAAAGAAGATTCTCAGAGAAAAACTGCAAAGAAGACCCTGAGACCGGACCAGCTGCCTAGAAGCAGAAACCAGCTCAAATGCCTGGAAGAGATTTGGACCAATTGAGGAACACCGAAAGGACACTCTCCAACCTACTGAGTTGCCTGTGAGCTGTGCAGTGTGCTCCAAGTTCCCAGCTTTGTGAGCTGTCACTTATACTGGGGAGGACTTTGGTGATGCAGTTGTCTTTGAGTCATTTCTGCTCCGTGGAAGTAACCCCAATAAAGCTCATGTTCACCAAGTTGGACTTTAGTGAAATCCATACTTTGGTCTGTCATGGGATCCTTATCTGGGGTGAGTTGACATGTGTGTTGCAGCTCTCCAGAACAAGTTTTGCCACACAATATTGAGGGGAAACTGTTTCTAGGAACCCCTGTGGGCTCCAAGCACTATAGATACTCCAGCATAATGGGTGCTCCATTATGCAAAATTGTAGAGAATGTGCTCGGCTCCTCCCAAATACTCAAGCCATCTTTACATTCTTTCATTTTAACGCATGTAATTTAAATGCTATATAAGTAGTATACTATACTGCTTAGGGAAATCATGACCAAAAATGTCTGTATACGTTCAAAGCAGAGGTAACTTATTTTTCAAATATTTTTGGCTGTGGTTGATTGATCTACAGATGCAGTGAAGGGGGCCAGCTGTTTAGAGAAGCTTTTCTGGTACACTGAGAAACAAACAATGATGCATGTAAATTCTGCTGAAGAAATAGAGTGTAGAGCTAATTATTAAGTCTAAACTATATTATAGGCGATGAATTCATAGTAAGAGCTAACCTCTACCTTTAAACTAATGCAAGTGTGATTTACTAAGCCTGATCTTTTCTGTACTACCTTAAACTCTGTGGTCAAGACTCTGGTGTTCTTGTGTAGAAGAAGTTTCTTTAAAAACTCATTTATATTATGTAAATATGTTTTTGTTATTATCCCAAGTGAATGGGGCTGCTTTAGTTTTTACACAGCTGTTAACTATCATTGTCTTGTGCTCTGGCAGACACTATATGATCTTTGACAGATGCATGTAGTTTAATTTGAAGGACTCTGAGAGGGTATAAATATCTGAGCCAGGAAACTCCAAAGAAGAAGGCTTCTGCTCCCTGTGCTGTTGCTGGTTCATCCTTTTATTGTGTTTGCAGTTGCTGGTTTGCTGGAATGCTGGATATCCTGAAGACTGGGATTGGTACTGGCCCAAAGAACCTGACAACCTTAACTAGCCGGAAGCAGCAAAAGAGCACTATGTCCCCTTTCCCACTAACCTTCTTTTTCTCCTACCTAGTGTTGGAGGGTTGAAAGGTATTAGGAGGTATAAAGTGTGGGTTGGAAGGAAGGTAGAGGTATAAGAATCCAAATAAAATAGAATAAACAGTAACACTAACACTCTTGAACATATTAAATGCTGTGTATGAAAGTGTTTAGCGAATACATGATTAAAGGACACACCAGAAAGATCAGCTCACACTAGTAACACACACTGACATCAGATGGTAATTTCTGCAGAGTACTGATAGCATCTAGCACCTGGTATGCCTGGGCATACTTGGTGAATGGATATACTCAAATGGAGGAAATCATCATGATTTACAGCTATACTGTTTTCTGAAGAAGGTGCCTGTGTCTACCTCTGAAGACTGGTCTAGATATTCAGAGGGAAGCCAGGATGAATTGACTGCAGAGACTAGAATGGCTGAACTGTCTGGCAAACAGGGAAAAGACTTCAGGGAAGGATGTGGTGAGGTGGGTCAGAAAACCAAGAAGGGGAAAATCAAGACGGGGCAGAGTTCAGAAAAAGGAAAGGGGAGTTGGGAAATCGGGAAAGGGAAAGAGGCTAGCAAGATGTGAAGAAAGCCAGGAAGGTGATGGTGGTGGTGGGGGAGTTCAATGGTAAAATATTTGCACGTGTGAGGCTCTGCGTTACTCCTAGCACCTCTCCTATCCCCCAACTATAATAATAATACTTAAAAATTGCTTGTAGATACCTACACTCTGGCCTGCCTGGCAGACCACACCCTGTGAGGGGCCATCTTGCAGTAGAACAACACTGTCTTTCCTAAAATACAAATTTAAAATTTTTTTTTTTTTGTAGGGGCGTAATGGTTAAGAGTACCAGCTATTCTTCCAGAGGACTCAGATACTATTCCCAGCACCCACACGGCAGCTCACAACCATCTGTAATTCCAGTTCCAGAGGATACGATGCCTCTTCAGTCCTCTGTATGCACCAGGCATGCATGTGGAGACATGCATGGATACGAAACACTCACACAAATAAAATTAAAAAAAAATCTTTTGTGTATGTATGCGTGTGAAGAGATCGTATGCCTGTGGACATGTGCATTTGAGGGCCAGAGGACAGCATCACATGTCATCCCTCCTCACACAGTCTCCTTTGTCTTGAGACAGGGCTCATGGGTCAAGCTAGGCTGCGTGGTTAGGGAGGCCTGTCTGCTTTTCCAGCACTAAGCGTGAGCCACTACACTCAGCCTTTCACACGGGCGCTGGGACCGGAAGTCAGGTCCTCATGCTTCCGTGACAAGTACTTTACCAACTGAGACTTCTCCCCAGACACACAAAACACAGTTCTCATGCTTTAACAGAGTCATATAAACCAGCGAATATGTACGAGTGAGTGTGTAAGAAAGTCAGCAAACCCTGACAACAGGGCCAAGGAGGAAGGGTGTGTCTGGATAAGGATGCTTTGGCAGATTTTCCCAATAACATCTGAGAATACAATCCATTGGCGGAAACCAGGCCACCACAGCCATAAGCGGCACCATGAGAGAGTCTCAGCAATGTAGTGAAGAGTCAGAGAAGGCAGTGCAAGCAAGAAATCATGTTGTGTGGCCTGTTGACAAATCTATGTTGCTTGGGAGCTTATGCCTATGTGACCAAAGCACGATGGAAAAAAAAAAAAAAACCTTTAAAAATCAATGAGGAAAACCAAGCTCCTTGTGATGTGAAATCCGAGAGCTTTTGGGAGTGCAGGAGATGAGAGTTCAGCAGAGTGTCCCCTGGCGAAGAACAGGGGCTGCTGTGAACAGTACGAGGTGCTTTAATGGATTAATCGCATGTAGATTTTTGGCATGAAGGCTGTCTGTGGGAATGTCAGATCTGCAGCAAGCCTCAGGATCCCAGAGGAAAGGGCATAAGATCTCAGGGATGGGAGATTCAGCTGCTGCTCTTACAAACAGTGGTTGAAACACAGGCTTGGAAATCAGACTGATTAGATGGAAGTTTCAGCTCCTAGACTTCTGCTGTATGAAATGGGGCAGGTTACTTAACCTCTCTGTGCTCATTTCCTAATCAGAAAATATGAATTTCATGAACACTCTAGAATAAAGAGTAAGCAGTTACACGAAATTTGCTGACAATGGTGCCTGGCATGCAAAACGTACTCAGAAGGATAGCTTTGTATTTATATATTTACTTTTGTTAATTTATTTAAAAAGGAAGCCATTTTTGTCCCAAAGCATAATCACTACCCAAAATTAGTAATTATGCTTCATAGGCAAGTGCCCAGAATAACCAGTTGAATCAAACTGCTTGTTGATTCAAAACATAATTTGGATCCCAAAAGAAACTGATATATTCCCCCCTCTTCCCTTTATAGCATAGAATCCACACTAAACACTAGAACCACAATGAAAACTAATTAATTAAGTTAATTCAGTAAGCACCCAAAAAGTCTGCCTGTTCCCACCAGTAAAAACTTGCATAATGTGGTGGTCTGAATATTTGAATACTCGCTCCCTAGCTAGTGGAACTGTTTAGGAAGAATTAGGAGGTGTGACCCTGTCGAAGGAAGTGTGTACTGGGGAGTAGACCTTTGAGGTTTCACAAGCCCTGCCATTCCCAGCTAGCTCTTTCTACCTCCTGCTTCGGGTGCGGGTGTGAGCTCTCCGCTACTGCTTCAGCACCATGTCTGCCTGCCTTCTACCATGCCCTCACCACGGTGGTCATGAGCTCCAAACGAAACACTTTCTTTTATAAGTTGCCACGGCCGTGGTGTCAGAAAAGGGACTAAGACAGATGAGACAGGGCTTTCGTCTTAAGAGCCTTACAGTCAAGAGCTTACAGACAGCATCCACGGCCCAGCAGCTGCCCTGGTCTGCCAGAAACACTGCCAGCACTCCTGGTTTCCTAAAAGCGCAAAGCGCTGAACTTCACAAATGCTGCGCTCTCCCAGGATGCTGCTCATCACTAAGGAGGCTCAGTAGAAGAGATTAGCAATAACTAACGTAGACCAGAACAACTAGAAGACGCTGC